GGCCATCATGGTGGAAAAAGTTCTTTTTGTTACCCTGGCTATAATAATTGGAATAGGCATAGCTTTATGTTGTGTATTTTATTATTGCTGCATGTTTTGTATGGAATGTAGGGTTTACTCGGTCCTATTCTTATTATTAATCCTTAATTCACAACATATGGTACTCATATATCATGATTTATAATCACAGCTATATTCTTATTTGATGAGTTTCTATGTTTCAGGATATCGATTTATGAGTGACCTACAAACCTACAGACCTATTGCTTCTCTAGTCAACTGCAACAGCTTTAAAATACCTCTGGTGAAGGCCCCTCCCAGCCATGACAGTTCCCTTAAAGTTAGGCAGAATTAACATCAATGACCTTTCTCAGCAAGAAGAGGTTGCAGAAGACTGACCTCTGTCCTTCAGCGTCCCTTAGGATTAGGGGTTCACTCATGACAGAAGGGAGAAATGTGTTAGAGAAACCCCTACTTACGAGGCCTCTGGCTTAATAAAACGTGACCAGAATGATTTCATCTTTAAGTGAATAGTGAGGCACTCACAAGGCATGTATAAGTTTAATACTTACAGTCTGAAAATAGCCACATCCCAAGCTGACCACCACTTATAATTACAGAATATTTATGGCCAGACAAAACATCTCCCACAGGCCAGGTGCAGTGGCTTACACCTGTAATACCAGCACTTTGGGAGGCCAAGGTGGGTGGATCACTTGAGGTTGGGAGTTTGAGAGAAATCCTGTCTCTACTAAAAATACAAAATTAGCTGGGCATGGTGGTGCATGCCAGTAATCCCAGCTACTCAGGAGGCTGAGGCAGGAGAATCGCTTGAACCTAGGAGGCAGAGGTGTGGTGAGCTGAGAGCGCGACATTGCACTCCAGCTTGGGCAACAAGAGCAAAATTCCGTCTAAAAAAATCTCCCACCAAGCTTGCAGAACATCCAGATTTCCTGAAAGTGCAGCCCTCTTTACTTAAAGATAATGTTAACGAGTAAGCTGAGGTTAAAGGATTGATGGTCATTGACAACACTGACAGCCGCTACCTTTAGTGAGCACATTCGAGAGCATGTCTGCACATTCCAAGTTTAATTTACCTATTTATAGTTTCTTACAAGTAGAGACACTAACAAAAGCTAGAGGGCTCCTCCTTTTGTTGAGGATGCCCTAATCTTTAACAGAGTAGTTTCCAGTAAACTTTCAATAAACTTCCTCTTTCACTGTGCTCTTTGAATGCCTCAAATTCTTTCCTGTGAGAGAATCTAAGAATCTGCTCTTGGGGTCTGGATCGGGACACTCTTTTCTGGCAACAATTGGACACATTTCCTGCTGGATCCTATTTGATTCCATCACAGTTCATTTTTGTCCATTCAGCCTTCTATAACAAAAGATTCTAGACTGAACAGCTTACAGACAACAGAAGCTGTTTGGAGACTGGAAAATTGAAGATCAAGATGCCAGCAGATTGATGCAAGGGATCCCTCTTGGGCTTGTTTTATAAGGACACGAATTTCATTTATGAGGGTTCTACCCTGATGTCCTAACTGCTGCCAGAAAAGAGTGTCCTGTTCCAGAGCAGATTCTTAGATTCTCACAGGTTCAAGAATCCAGCTACTGATCTCTTAACATGCAACGTAATGTGCAAGTCGACCCCTGCCTTATTCCAGGTCACTTTTGGAAAAAAAGAGTCCATTATGGACTTACTGTGGAAATTTTAAAATATTAGGCTAAAGCATCTGGAATTATTTGCTATATGGTAGGGAGCCATTTAACACTGTAATTGAGGTGTTAACTAAGAGTACTGGAGGGATAAATGGGGTAGGAAGACCTAGAGTTAAAAACGGCTGTGTAGAGAATATGATGAAGGCTTGGATGGGTGAGACTGATGACAGTAAAAATAGTCAAGATAAGACACAGAGAAGGCATTACAAAGGGAGAATAACATTTTTATTTCTGGCTGGGATGGTAAAAAAGGAATCAAAGTTGATGCCAAAATTTTGAACCAGGAAGAAAGAATGTTGGCTATAATTTTTGAGAAAAATAGAGATCTGTAGAAAGTAAAAAATTCCTCTTTAAAGTTTCCCTTCTTGTTAAAGACTAGTAATACCAAATGTTAGAAATAATAGTTTCTTTTAAAGACTGTCTTCAAAGCCTTCTTGCTTTTTACTAGTAACTCTTTGTTAAGCCCTATCCTATGTAGCTGTTAGATATAAAGGAATAAATACATTCTATGTCCTTGTACTTTAACCAAGATATTTGTGCTGGACATGCTCACAGGCACATAGTACATTCTATGTCTTTGTACTTTAACCAAGATATTTGTGCTAGATGTGCTCATAGGCACATAGTACATTATATATCTTTGTACTTTAACCAAGATATTTATGTTATTACTTTTCTAAGTCCTTTCACAAGCAACTTTCTCTCCCTTCCTTATTTACACTTTTTCTTTTCCTTTGTTCTCCATTGCCTTTACCTATTTAGAAAAGTTTTAAGTTGTTAGACAATCAAGTTCAGTTTATTTATTTATTTATTTATTTTTTGAGTCGGAGTTTCACTCTTGTTACCCAGGCTGGAGTGCAATGGCGCAATCTTGGCTCACCGCAACCTCCGCCTCCTGGGTTCAGGCAATTCTCCTGCCTCAGCCTCCTAAGTAGCTGGGATTACAGGCACGCGCCACCATGCCCAGCTAATTTTTTGTATTTTTAGTAGAGACGGGGTTTCACCATGTTGACCAGAATGGTCTCGATCTCTTGACCTCGTGATCCACCCGCCTCGGCCTCCCAAAGTGCTGGGATTACAGGCGTGAGCCACCGCACCCGGTCTCAAGTTCAGTTTAGATTGTGCAGCTTCAACAAATGGAGATCAGACACAGAAGTAAAGACCCAATAGGTAAAGAATAAATATGCCTGACTTTCCTTTGTTCATTGTACTCTTATGGCAAGATGGCTGATGAGCAGTACCCTTTCTGCAGAAAGTAAAATTGCCTGCTAAGAAAACTTTTTGTCTGAATGCTAATTTCTCTTTGCAGTGCCTGAGAACAAGCATTCTGTCTCTAATAAGATCTAAAGAGGGAACAATTTGGGGAGGAAAGATGGGTCCTGAAAGTTTAATACAAGTTGCTTGAGTGGATGATAGATCACATGGATAGGAAGATGAGGGACTGGAATGTGGAGATGCAGATTTGAGAAGTATCTACTTACAAGTGAGAGGGGAAGCCATAAGCAGGGAAGTAAAAGCACGGAATAGAAATTGGAGCCATGAAGTTCATAGCCAAGTATGGTGGCTTTGTGGGAAATTAGGAAGAAGTAGAACCAGAAAAAGAGAGACCAGAGAGCTAAAAGAGTCAGGACTATGTTGACACAGATGCAAAGGAAAGAGTGAGCTATAGCCTCAAATGATACTGCAAAGTTAAGAACAAGGATGACAATGCCACTGCTTGTGGGAGGTCCTCAAAGAGCTCTTACCAAAGCAAGTGTGGCATTTTAGGTGTGCAGTGAGACCCTTGGCCATTGAAAATGCGTTGTTTGCTTTTTTTTTTTTCCCCTTTAACACTGATTCAGTTTAAAACTGCTGAAGTTGTTTGCTCTTAGAGGAAAGAAAAGCTATTAAGCATACACTCCACTGTTGGCAGGGCATGTCCTGTCTGAGAGAATGTGACCGTCTGTTTCTTTTCTTTTCTTTTTTTGAGATGGAGTTTCACTCTTATTGCCCAGGCTGGAGTGCAATGGCACAATCTCAGCTCAATGCAACCTCCGCCCCCCAGGCTTAAGCAATTATCCTGCCTCAGCCTCCTGAGTAGCTGGGATCACAGGTGTGTGCCACCACACCTGACTAATTTTGTATTTTTAGTAGAGTTGGGGCTTCTCCATGTTGGTCAGGCTGGTCTTGAACTCCGGACCTCAGGTGATCTGCCCAACTCAGCCTCCCAAAGTGCTGAGATTACAGATGTCAGCTACCATGCCCAGCCAACCATCTGTTTTTATTCAGAAGAGAAATTCACTAATTAGGACAAAGTCTGGATAATTCAGAGTCCTCTGCTGGTTTTTAGATGGGAAAGAGGGGGAAAATCACTAATGGAATAAGGCTCTATGATAAAAGCTACCAGCTCCAGGAATGTCTAACTTCATATTTGTCAGCCTGTTCTGTCATTAAGTAGAGCTCAGTTCCTGGGAAGGGAAAAGAAGGGCTGGTTAGTTCTGGGTGCTTCCATGTGCAGTGAGAGCTCTGCCCCAGCAGCAGGTATGTGTCTGGCTGGAGGGACACTGGTGATTAACTCTAAGCTCAATCATTTCTTACCCTTCAGCACTATAGAGTGCAGTTCTTGGGAACAGTGTTACTGAAGCTGGAAACATTTGTGGTACAGCCTTATTGCTCTCCAGCTCTTTGAGGTTACTTGAAAATTTCTCTCTAAGAGATAATAAAGATGCTGGGTTTCTGTCCCCCACCCCCATTTGCTATTTAAAGCTCTTCTGCTAGACTCTGGAACTATACCAGATGAGTGACTTTGAGAGAGAACATGTGCAGAGCAGAAAGGCACGGTGAGTGGAGACCACTCCAGAGAAGTCTGGCAGTGGAAGGAAGGGGGAAGATGAAAAAGCCTAACATCAGTAAACAAATCACATCTCAGCCTTTTGTTGTATATGTGGGGGAAATTGTTCTCACTGAGATAAGGGTCAAGCTGGAACTCTTGATAGGCTAATCATGTCTGGGTAAGTGGGATGACCAACTGTCCTGATTTGCCTAGAACTCTTCTGGTTTAGCATTGAAAGTCCCATGTCCCAGAAAACACTTGAGTCCCAGGCAAACTTGGACAGTTGATTGATCACCTTAAGTAGAAGCCAACTGGTGTTCCCCCAAAATGATCAAATTAGCTATATCATTAGTTGCCTTGTGATAGAAGATGCCCTGTTCTCCTACCCTTCTCTGTTCCTATACACAGTAACAGGATCCTTATCCTCCATGGGGTTTGTCTGACTTTCCTAGATTGAGAGATTTCTAGCTTTGCACAATGGCAGTATCGTAGCCAGAGGTTTGTCCGAGGTGCGATTATTGCTAATTGAAAACTTTCCCCAATACCCTGCCATGATGACTTGAAATATAGTCGGTGTTGACAATTTTCTGGCAGTCTCTACGGAAACTGAACCATCTCAGTAAAAAAATGAAAAAAATAAAAAAGAAAGATTTCTCTGCATTTTGAGTGTCATAGAGGTAGAGAAATAAAATTTTAATGCCTTTCCTAAGCTTTTACGTAACACTTCATTTGATTTTCACAACAACTATGTGAGCTGGGTACTACCATTTCTAGTTTGGTAATGGAACAAAGGATTCTGAGGCACAAGGAGGCCTAGGTCTGTCTGTCTTTAAACTATATACTCTTTGCTACATTGCACTTGTCCCTCAGAGCCCCATGGCGTCAAATGTGTTTGATCCACATGTTTTGGGGAAAATGCAAGCCCATTGCTAGAGTTGGGGCATAGAATAGTGTCCACATATATCAATCTTTTCAGGTTGTAAAGGAGCCAGATGCCCTTCCTTAGGAAGCACCTCTATCCCCATGGTGATTTTTTTGGTACTTCTTTGAACCATATCCCGTACTGTGCCCTCTCTTAGTAGAGAAAACAAGAGGAGCATCCAGGCCCAATGACTTTGCATTTCAGAAAATACAAATGTGAAAGGGAAGGTTGTAGGGTTGAAAAAAATATGCATTACATAGGCCAGATGCTGTGGCTTATGTCTGCAATCCCAGCACATTGGGAGGCCAAGGTGGGAGGATTGCTTGAACTCAGGAGATTGAGACCAGCTTGGACAACATAGAAAGACCTTGTCTCTACTAAAAAAAAAAAAAAAAAAAAATCTTTTTTAAAAAAAAAAAAAAAAAAAAAAAAAAATCAGCCAAGTCGGATGCATGCCTGTAGTCCCAGCTATTTGGAAAGCTACTGTGGGAGGATTGCTAGAGCCTGGGAGGTCGAGGCTGCAGTGAACCGTGATCATGCCACTGCACTCCAGCAAAATCCTCTCTCTCTCTCTCTCTCTGTGTGTGTGTGTGTGTGTGTGTATGTGTATGTGTATAAATATCTTGGCAGGGCACAGTGACTCATGTCTATGATCCCACCACTTTGGGAGGCTGAGGCAGGCAGATCTCCTGAGATAAAGTGTTTGAGACCAGTTTTGCCAGCATGGAAAAACCCTTTCTCTACTAAAAATACAAAAAGTATCCAGGCATGATCATGCACGCCTCCAATCCCAGCTACCTGGGGGGCTGAGGCATGAGAATATCTTGAACCCAGGCAGAGGTTGCAGTGAGCTGGGATTGTGCCACTGCACTCCAGCCTGGGTACCAGAGTGAGACTCCATCTCCAAATATGTATATATATATGTTTGTGTGTATATACTGCAATATGGATTCTGATATTAAAAATGAAACACCTACTAAATCAAAGCACTTAGATTATAGAAACTCTTCACCGTGAAAACATTGACAGAAATCTATGCCTGAGACAGAGTATGGCTACTCAGGTGCCATTTCCCTTTTAATTTCTATGCCCTCTGTTCACATTTAAATTCTTGCTTCTTGTCTGAAAAAACAGTATGTTCTATCCTCTTTAAAATGAACTAAAGTTAAAAATATGGTCAACCTGTTTTCTCCAAAATATAAGTTTTAAATTTCCCCTGTCTAGAGGAGATAGCAGTCAAACTAATATAGTTTAGACTTAAATAGTCCAAAGATCTACAAGGAATGTGCTAGATGTAGTTCATTTTTTTTTTTTTATTAAGATGGGGTTTCACCATGATGGCCAGGCTGGTCTTGAACTCCTGGCCTCAGGTGATCCACCCACCTCGGCCTCCCAAAGTGCTAGGATTACAGGCGTGAGCCACCGCGCCCAGCCTAGATGTCGTTTAAATGAAACATAGGATAGTAGAAGGACCAGGTGCGCAAGCTTGAGGCATAGGTTGTTTTTTAAAGAAATAGAGAAGCATTTAGAACCTGCCAAGGGGGCAGGAACTCGATTTGATGCAGGTTGTGGTGCTGTGTGGACCATGCAGAAAGGAGTAAATTGGGCCCAGTTCAGTGGTTTATGCCTGTAATCCCAGCACTGTTGGAGACCAAGGTGGGAAGATTGCCAGTTAGGTGGGAAGGCCTTGATGAAAGATCTGGAAAAGGGAGTGGGCAAATTCTACCCACTTATTGCATCTCCACCACTGCCCAATGCCAGGCATCTTCCTCTGTCACTGGTGTAGTGCAAAGGCTTTATAATCCGTCTCACACTCCTTCCATCGTGTGCCATGTCTGAATTCACACACCAGGTCCTTCCACTAACTCATATTCCATTTAAACTACATCTAGCACATCTAGTAAAATCTAGTTCTGTGTGAATCTTTGAAGCATTTAACTCTAAATCATATTATGTTGACTGCGAGGGGAATTTTAAAGCTCATGTTTTGGGAAGAATGGATTGGCCATATTCACCAGCAGAAAGCGTCGTTTTTAGCAATTTATAAAACTAGGTTATTACTCCCCCACTTAAAATTTCCAGTTGATTCCCTTCACAAGGAAATAAACTCTGAAGTACTTCTCTTGGCCCATGAAGCCATGCATGAGCTCTCCCCTCCTTGCCCTTCTACCTGACCTCTCACCCTTGTGCACTTTGCTCTGGTCTTGTCACTTATGCCAGTGCAGGGCCTGTGTACCTGCTCTTTCTACAAGGAGATTTCTTCTCTTGATCTGTATTTGCATTGTGGGATCCTTCTTGCCAATTAGTTTTCTGCCTACATGTTACCTCTACAGAGAGTCCTTACCTGATACCCCCAATATAAAGTAAGTCAATGAGCACTCCCACGAATTAGCTGAGTGATTTTCAATAAGATAATCTCCCTAGAGCTAATTTATTAATTCAAAAATAGGGCTTATAGGCTGGACATGGTGGCTCATGCCTGTAATCCCAGCACTTTAGGAAGCTGAAGCAGGTGGATCACTTGAGCTCTTGAGTTTGAGACCGGCCTGGCCAACGTGGAGAAACCCCATCACTACTAAAAGTACAAAAAGGTAGCAGGGTTTGGTGGTAAGCACCTGTAATCCCAGCTACTTGCGAGGCTGAGGAAAGAGAATCGCTTGAACCTGGGAGGCAGAGGTTGCAGTGAGCCAAGATTGCGCCATTGTACTCCAGCCTGGGTGACAGAGTGAAACTCCATCCAAACAACAACAACAAATCTAAAATAGGGCCTATAGTAATAACCCATAGGGTTGCATGAGCATCAGATGAGATGAAATAGGGAGTGTGTAATAGATGAGTCACTCTGTGAGGAAAGTCATTCTCATGGTCACCTCCCTCTTCCAGGCCTTCATCTAGCCCATGTCTAACCTTTCCATTTTCCATCACCCTCATTTCAATGTATCTTATATTCCACTGTCAGTTTGATGATATTCAATCTATTTTTTAAAAAATTATTCCCTCTTTTAAGAATGTAAACCTCCACACTTCCCTCCAATTTGGGGCCCCTTTAATCACCACAAACCATTCCTTAAGCACTTAGGAATTCAAGTAGTACTGCTTCAGGACTGAAACTTTCTAGATGCCATAAAGACAACTTGAAGGCATCTTTGTTTTCTAGGCCAAAATCTGTAATTTTTATTGCTCATCTGCATTATTCTGCTCATTAAAAAAAAAGGTAAGCATGGCTATTGAGACTTGCCTTCTCTCTTGCTATTGGCTGCGGGAGTCAGCAGATCCTGGCAAAGTTGCCGTGATGGTGAGAATGGTGAGGGAGGTTCCAGTGATGGGCACAAGTGTTGTTGCCAGCTAGGTGTGTGCAGGCAGTGGAAGGAGGTCTGACCGGAATATCAACAGAGGGTGGTAATACCTCTTAAGGACCCACCGAATGGGCTCCTAGGGACTGAAGAGTGAGTAGAGCCAACACTGCCCCCAGCACTCAGACAACAAACATTGAATAGGATTGAATTGAATTAAACTGAACCTGGAAAAGGGCAGCATTTTAAAAGCGGAGAGAATAATTTGAAACAAATTTAGGGAGAAAGTAGAGTGATGTCAGATGTATGCTAATTGGGACTGCTTTTTTTAAGGTGAAAAAGAAATCATTTCACTTTAGGTTAATGTAGGCCTCACTGAAGAAAAGACCTGAGTGGGGTGGGTTTATAACAGATACTCTGAGCCCTGGCCAGATTGTTTGCAGGGGATTAAAGTACTTGTTCTTTTAAACACTTGGCAGTCATAGAATCCAAAATCTGGATCAGGCGGATAACAAGAAATCTGCTATTCCATAGCTTCTCAAACTTCAACGTGCAAAGGAACCACCCAGGCAGCATTTTTAAAATGCACATTCTGATCCAGTGGGACTGGGGTGAGGCCTGAGACTCTTCCCTTATAACAAGCTCCAGATGAAGCTGATGTCTAAGGACCTCACTTTGATTTTTTTTTTTTTTTTTTAGATTTCATAGGATAGTACCTCACTTTGAAAGGAAAGGATATGTTTTAACCTCCTTGTTTCCTAGAGGTGAAACTGAGGCTCTGAGAAGTGAAATGTCTTGCCTATACTCCCAGAGTCTCTGGCTCTAATTATTTCCCTTTTTTTTTTTTCTATTGCACTTTGATGTTTTATTGAGAAAGTCAGTAGAAATCACAGCACCCCATAAAGCTACCTGCTTGTTGATGGCCAAGGCATGTTGGCAGCTTAGATGGTACCAAGGGCAGAGTAGGACAAAGCCTGGAAGAAGGAGGAGGAGGTGGTGACCAAGTGTTGCTGGCCAACAAAGTCATGCTAACACTTATGGCAGGTGTATTTAAATCACTGACTCAAGCAAAAGAGAATGGGATTAACAGATAATAGTTTTAACATTCTTTTCTATAATTTTAAAGTTAGTAGGCAAACAGAGTTGATGTCAGGGAGATATTTTTAGGCAAGGGGCCCTCTCAGCACCCCTCACATGATGTCAGTGTCTAAACTATTCAGCCTTGTCATGTGGCTAGCCCTGGCAATAATGATTTATTTCTGAGCTTTAACTTCAGTGAAAGTGACAAGGTTAAAAGTTAAAAGTCAAAGATATTTTTAACTTTTAACTTATTAACCAGCCAATTAATTAGTTACTTTAATTAGGCATTGTTGAACTGCTTCCCTGCTATGGAAAAATTTAATTGTAGGGAAAGAAAATGTATAAAGTTAATTATAAAGTAATCCATTTGTCTTCCTGATGTTTTAACAAGATCAATCTGCTGAGGATAATTCCCACATTAGACCCATTGGTGGGTCCTTAAGAGGTATTATCACCCTCTGTTGATATTCTGGTCAGACCTCCTTCCACTGCCGGCACATACCTCACTGGTGACAACACTTGTGCCCATAATCCTTTGCTTCCAGGCTGCAATTCCAGTACCTTCACTGTATCCTAAAAACATAACTACCCTCTCCCAGATCCATTCCACTTCAGAATCTGAATTCTCCACCTATACTAGAAATCTCTCTACCTTTATACTTATTAGTTATTTAATTAGCTAGTTAATTCTCACATCTGGTGCTTCCATACTAGTACTATTGTACTAAATTACTGTTGTATTGGCCAAGAAAGTGCTAAAGTAACTGGATTATCTAGGGGTAGCTGTGAGTCAATCTGTCTGTTTGGTTACTTGTAAGCCAACACACCCTAGTTTTACCAGGACAGCACCCCAGAATACACCTTGGAGACCTTGGTGCTTGGAAGCTCTGGAAAAATTAAATGAAGTTAGGTGATTATACACAGTGAATTTGCTTGTGCCCAGAAAACAGGCATAATTATAACCCAGACACACACCTATAGTGGAGACATGGGGTACATATGAAGGGTACAGAGACAGACAGGAAGGAACCAGGAGCTAGGGTTTCTGAATAGTTGCTTTAGGTCTCCTTTTACTTGGCATCAGTGGCGTTAGCCTGTACACTTCAAAGGTCAGGGTGTACAGAATCCCTTTTGCTGCATAGGCCACTTCCCAGGATGTCCTGAGCTGAACTTTGAACCAGTGAAAAACAAGAAAATAAACACTGCTCCCCTACCCTGCCAACTTTTAGTGCATGCAACACTATACAGCTATTCTAGAAGCAAGAAATTATCTATCTATAATTATAACTTTTAAAACCTCAAGTATCATTAGTCATTTTACTTTTGTCCCTCTGAATATGCAAAATTGTTCAACCTTGTAACAATCTTTGGTTTTCATGCACAATCCTATGCAAGGTTTTCAACTTTAAAAATATTTCACTTATATTCCATGGATGCACTTTGGACTCAAGAGAGCTGGGGAGGAGAGGGCCACACTTAGAGAATATTGTTGGAGAAAAAATGGCTTTAAACTCTGCAGACAGAGTTTCAATAGTACATACAGAAAATACAATTGTGCTTATTAACCGATAGTGTGACACAGCAGATGAGTTTAAGCTGCGTGAGAATGACTTGCAATTAAACACAGCAAGTGTTGGCTGAAGAAAAAGTCACAGAATTTAGACCTTAGAAAATAGAAATTCTGGGCCGGGCACAGTGGCTCACGCATGTAATCCCAGCACTTTGGGAGACTGAGGTGGGCAGATCAACTGAGATCAGGAGTTCGAGACCAGCCTGGCCAACATGGCGAAACCTTGTCTCTACTAAAAATTAAAAAATTAGCTGGGCATGGTGGCATGTGCCTGTAGTTCCAGCTACTTGGGACGCTGAGGCAGGAGATTCGCTTGAACCCGGGAGGCAGAGGTTGCAGTGAGCCGAGATCATGCCATTGCACTCCAGTCTGGGATACAAGAGCGAAACTCCATCTCAAAAAGAAAAAAAAAAAAAGAAAATAGAAATTCTGGCCAGGCACAGTGACTCATCCTTGTATTCCCAGAACTTTGGGAGGCTGAGGCAGGTGGATCACTTGAGGTCAGTAGTTCAAGACCAGCCTGGCCAATATAGTGAAACTCCGTCTCTACTAAAAATACAAAAGTTAGCTGGGCTTGGTGGCACAGGCCTGTAGTCCCAGCTACTCAAGAAGCTGAGGTAGGAGCATCTCTTGAACCTAGAAGGTGGAGGTTGCAATGAGCTGAGATTGCACCACTGCACTCCAGCCTGGGTGAGAGAGTGCGACTCTGTCTCAAAAAATAATAACAATAAATAAATTAAATAAATAGAAATTCTGGGCCAGCCATGGTGGCTCACACCTGTAATCCCAGCACTTTGGGAGGCTGAGGTCGGCGGATCACTCGAGGCCAGGAGTTTGAGAGTAGCCTGGCCATCAAGGTGAAACCCTGTCTCTTCTAAAAAAAATCCAAAAATTGGCCAGGTGTGGTGGCAGGTGCCTGTAGTCTCAGCTACTCGGGAGGTTGAGGCAGGAGAATCACTTGAACTTGGGAGGCAGGAGCTACAGTGAGCGGAGATGGTGCCATTGCACTCCAGCCTGGGTGACAGAGCAAGACTCTCTCTCAAAAAAGAAAGAAAAGAAAATAGAGCCGAGCGTGGTGGCTCACACTTGTAATCCCAGCACTTTAGGAGGCTGAGGCGAGTGGATCATAAAGTTAGGAGTTTGAGACCAGCCTGGCCAATATAATGAAACCCCATCTCTACGAAAAATACAAAAAATATTAGCCAGCTACTCAGAAGGCTGAGGAAGGAGAATAGCTTGAACCCGGGAGGCGGGGGTTGCAGTGAGCCAAGATCATGCCACTGCACTCCAGCCTGGGTGACAGAGCGAGACTCTCCCAAAAAAAAAAAAAAAAAAGAAAGAAAGAAAATAGAAATTCTGGGTTCTAGGCCTTCTGCTTGTTTCCCCACCACCTCCTCCACTCCCCTGCACCCTCCCCATTCCCACCACCATCACCATGTTGTAACTTTACAGATATCACATAACTATTCTGGTTGATTATAGAAGAAAGAACCTAAGCTGTCAGAAAGCAAGTACTCCACCTGCTCTAAGATTTTATATTGGAAGCAGAAACTTAGGCATGGCTGTATCTTATTCTCAGTGCCAGCCTTTCCCCCACATCTTTACATAACTAATTTGCTTAACAATCATCCCCTTCCCCAGGACACAAAAGTGATATGCAGCTCAGCTTCATCTGCATATTCACCTCTGAAGGTCCTCGTCATGGTGCACCTGCTCCTGCTTGAATGCTTACCTTAATAGAACGGGCTGAGTCAGCATCTGCTTGCACCTGAACCCTTCACTGCAAGTAAGCAGATTGCCGGGAGATGGCCAGGGTGCATCAGCTGCAATAGAGGACAGAGTTCTGTTAGGAAGGCAGGGAAAGGAGAGAAAACTTCAACAGAAATAGTCCAAGTGTTGCGAAGTTAAAAATAAAACTATATCACAAGGGGCAATGTGACCAGGCTCAGCTTACGACTTTTTCCTTCCCCTGTATTTATCAACACTCAGCCTCTACCGGAGTGGCATTTAGCAGGGGAAACTGAATGGGAAGTAAGGTTTTATACCAATAGGTTTTCTATCCCTTGAGGAAGGAGGAAAATCTTTTTAAGAAGGATCATTTTCAAGGCTAGAGAAGCCTCTCAGATTCCTGCATGTGCAAGTGGCTGGCCCAGCTGTGCTGGAGGAGGCTGGCAGAGCATTCAGGACCGGCTGCTCCTCTAATTATAACCATGCTCCTCACCTAAACCCATCACTGGCTGAAGCAGCAACTTGTGCAAGTGACATGCTTTCCTGCTTTAGTTTCTCCTGTCTCTTGTCATGACAAGTAAGTGTCTGTCCTCACCCGGCCCTTGTCTTTCCTAGGTGGCTGGGAAAGGGAGAGTTTGTAATTCAGAAGCCAGGTGTAGAGCTAACCCACTGTGAGAGAATTAGAGGTTGTAGGAGGCTTTAGATATCATTTCGTCCAACTCCCTCTTTTTACAGAGGAGGAGATGGAGATTCAGAAGAGGGAAATTCCTCATCCAACATCACACATCTCATTAGTGGAAGAGCCAGAGGAAAGCCACAGAGAACTTGTTTAACTCCCAATCTGATGTTCTTTATCTTATCATCACGATAAACTCATTCAGCTATCTTGTGAGGAAAGAAACTATAGAATCCTGACTAGTGTTTTCTAGGTATGTGATTTTGACCAATTTACTTAACCATCTTCTATTTTGGTTTTCCGTACTGTGAAATGGCGATGATACTTAGTGTAACCACCTGTAACTATGTCAATACACTTAAGGCACATGAATGATATGTACCATATACAAGATGCTCAACAATGCCCACTGTTATTTGAATGTATTTTGACTCAGAGCAGGTGTGCTAAATTCAGCTGTGATTAACAGCCATCGAATTAACCATTCCCCTGGATTCTTCCATACATATTTCTCCATGGAGGCAAGCTTATTTGGAATGAGCAAATAGCATTTGAAAATTGTAAAAACTTTCTACATTGATTTTGTATCTTGAAACTTTGCTGAACTGGTTTATTAGTTGTAATAGTTTTCTTGTGGATTCCTTAGGATTTTCAAGGTCATGCCATCTGTTAACAGAAATATTTTAACTTCTTTCTTTTCAATTTGGATGCCTTTTACTTTCTTTTCTTGCCATTTCCCCCGGCCGAGAACTTCCAGCACTATGTTCTCACTGTGTTTGGTGAGCATGAGGGTGGCCACACTTCACTTGTTCCGATTTTAGTGGGGAAGCATTCAGTCTTCCACTGATAAGTATGATGCCTGTGGATTTTTGTAGATGGCCTTTATCAAGTTGAAAGACAGGAGTTTGATAGTTTGTTCTAGTTTGTTGAGTGAATCAAGAGAGAATGTGAGTCTTCAGCAAATGCCTTTTCTGTGCCCAGCAAGATGATCATGTGGTTTCTGTCCTTTATTCTATTAATATCTTGTATTACATTGATGAATTTTTTTTATGTTGAAACAATCTTCCATTCCTACTTGGTCTGGTATATGTTCTTTTTATATGTTGCTAAATTTAGTTTGTTAGTATTTTATTGAGGATTTTTTTCTAGTCAGATAGGTAATGTGCCAACGTCGAAATGAAGTTTGAGGGTGGCACTCTCACACATCTGTGTGAATGCCCAGTCATCATGCTCATGAGCTACAAAAGGATCTTATTGAGGATTTTTGCATTTATATTCAGAAGAGATGTTACAGGTTGAGCGTCCCCAATCTGAAAATCTGAATTCCAAAATGGTTTAAAATCCAAAACTCTTTGTGCTCTAACATGACACCATAAGAGGGGAGTTTCACACTTGGCCTCACGTGATGAGTCATAGTCAAAATGCAGTCAAAACTTTGTTTCATGCAGAGTTATTTAAAATATTGTACAATTACCTTCAGGCTATGTATATAAGGTATATATGAAACATAAATGAGTTGTTTAGACTGGTGTCCCATCCCCAAGATACCTTATTATGTGTGTGCAAATATTCTGAATGCAAAGAACTCCAAATCTAAAACACTTCTGGTTCCAAGCATTTCCAATAAGGGATACTCTCTATAGTCCATAGTTCCCTTATGGTGTCTTTGTTCAGCTTTGGTATCCAGGTAATATCAATCTCATAAAATGAGTTCCTTCCTCTTTTGTTTTTTGGAAAAGTTGTGAGGGATTGGTGTTAATTCTTCTTTAAACATTTTGGTAGATTTTAGCAGTGAAGCCATCTGGAACTGGGCTTTTCTTTGTGGGAAGTTTTCGATTGTCAACTCAATCTCTGTGCTTATTATAACTCTGTCTTAGTCTGTTTTTGTGTTGTTATAACAGAATACCTGAAACTGGGTAATTTATGAAGAGAGATTTATTTCTTACAGTTCTGAAGGCTAGGAAGTCTTCCAGCCTTAGATGGAAGATGGAGGGGCGACATCTGGCCAGGGTCTTCATGTTTCGTCCTCCCATGGCAGAAAGAAGGTGGGGGGGAGAGAGAGAGAGAGAGAGAAATAGAGAGAGAGAGAGAGAGAGAGAGAGA